TATATATATATATATATATATATTGAAATTTAGGTGTAGGATGTATTAAATACATAGGCATTGAGTGGTATGTACGTAAATATTTGGTTAAGAAATTAATAAGGTAGCTAGCTGGACAATACACATGCAGCGTTATATATAAGCATTGGACCGTCATGAAGAACAAAGCAAGCAAGCAGACTTAAGTTCAACAAGAACAAATAAGAAGAGGAAGAAATGAGGAGCTTTACTAATTCCACGCTTCTTTCAAAATCCGCCATTTCATCTCATACCCTAAGTAGTAATTATCATCACCTGGGATCACTCAGCTTCAGCAACTTCAGCTATCCTGCCGTTGTTCGCCCTAATTACTTTCACAGAAGTAGGCCTACAGGTATTTATTTTTTTGAGTTGCAGGACACTCCCTATTCTACAGACTAGACTATTAATAGTATCTTATAGTAGTACATAATTAATATTAGGAAGGTTTTTTGTCTACATGGGCAGGTGTCGGAGCTCTGAAAGTTATTTCAGAAGGAGCATTAGAGAAGAAGACAGATGACCCATCACCGTCGCAGCTGAACACATTTGATCCAGTATTTTATATATATATATATATATATATATAGTTTGAAAAAAAAGTAGGGAAATTCACTTGCCTACCACAGATTCTTATATATTTACATATCTAACCACTAAATATTTATATTATATGATTAATTGGACCAATTTGACAGTACTGCCATTTTGCAGGGGCATTTAGATACATACAGCTCAATTCCAATGTATTGACATGATCTAACATCTAAGTTTTATTTTCTTGCATTTATACCATTCAAAATTTTCATATCACTTTTAAAATGTGAAATGTACTTTTTCATGCAGATATAGATACGGTGGTGTATATGTAAAAAATTAAAGTTTAGATGTTAGATATTGTAAATACATAAGAATTGAGTGGTATGTATGTCAATAATCCTTCTTGTTTTTGCATTTCATGATAAAACTTTTGTCTTTAGTTCATTTGATCCAGTGTTAGTGCTTAACACATATTACATTTTCTGATTTTCTTAATATATAAGCAAATACAAATTATAACCGCACAATAACTACACGTCACGTTTTTTTCTGAAAATAAAAACTAACTAACCACATAACTGTTTTCCTAACCGCCTAACCACACGACGGTTTTCCTAACCACCTAACCATATGAAAAATGTGCAAAAAAAACATAAATAATTTCTGGAGACAACTAGATTAACTCAACAATCTCCTCCTTAATCTTGTTGTCCTTCACTGACGATTCACACACTAATTTTTTCTCTCATCTCCAAGAACTTCAATCTTGCAAGTGACTTTGTCAGAATATCAACACGTTGATCTTCTGTGCAAACATGTTGAATTTCAATCATTCTAGATTCAACACAATCACACAATTAGATTCAACACAATCTCTAATGTAATGGAATCGTGTATCGATATGTTTGCTCCTCTTATGGTAAACTGAATTCTCGCTTAATGCAATTGCAGACTGATTATCAATCTTCAGAACTACTTTCTTAACTTCGATTTTTAACAAGTCTGTCAATAGTCGTCCCAGCCACACTCCTTGACATGCTGCTGCACAGGCAGCGATGTACTCCGCTTCACAGGAAGATAACTCCACCACTTTCTGTTTTTGTGAACACCAACTAATAGAACTTGACACAAGGAAAAATATTAAACCTGAGGTACTTTTCCTATCATGAGTATCACCAGCTAGATCAATGTCTGAGTAACCGATCAGCTCCAAGCTTCCTTTCTTCTTCTCATAAACACAACCGAGGTATAAAGTTCCTTTTTTAAAGTTCCTTTCACTAAAGTTCCTTTCACGTACCGCAATATGAGCTTCACTGTGGTTATGTGCTCCGTTGTGGGCCTTTCCATGTATCTACTCACCATGCCAACAGAGAATGTCAAATCTGAGCGCGTGTGCAGTAGATATCTTAAACTGCCAACAATACTTCGGTATAAAGTTGTTTCTACATGTGGACTTGTGCTTTCCTTACTCAGTTTTAGGCGAGGTTCCATCGGAATTTGCGAAGGGTTGCAATCTTTCGCGCCGCATTTATCTAAAACCTTTCTTGCATATGCCGACTGATTAAGTGTAATCCTTTGAGAATTTTGACATACTTCAATTCCCAAATAGTAACTTAGTAACCCAAGGTCACTCATGCTAAACAATTTCTTCATCTATGATTTGAACTTGTCTGTCTTGAATACACTGTCCAGTGATGATTAAATCATCCACATAGACTCCAACAGTTAAAATCCTTTTACCTTGATTTCTCATGTACATGACATGCTCTAAAGAACACTTCTCAAAACCGAGTGTCCTCAATGATTTCTCCAGTTTTGAGTTCCAGGCTCTAGGTGCTTGTCGCAAACCGTACAATGCTTTGTGCAGTTTTAACACCTTGTGCTCTTCTCCCTTTATTTCAAATCCCGACGGTTGAGTGACATACACTTCCTCTTCCAAATCACAATTGAGGAAGAATGACTTCACATCCATATGATGAACCTCCCATCCTTCATGTGTCGCAATAGAGAGCAGCAAACGTACTGTCTCTAGCTGAGCAACAGAGGTGAAAATTTCATCAAAGTCTATGCATTGTCGTTGAGCGTACCCCTTTGCCACTAATCTCGCCTTGTGCTTCACAATTCTTCCTTGAGTGTCCTTCTTTAGCTTGTAAACCCATTTTTGACCTATAGGTTTGTGGTCGTTGGGTAATGGGACGAGCTTCCAAATTTCATTCCTTTGAATGGAAGAAATTTCCTCCTCCATTGCTTTTCTCCACATCGGGTCTGCCTTAGCTTCTTCGAGAGTTGATGGCTCCTCCTCTCCTAGCAAGCACAATCCCGAATACTCTAGTTCTATTGGGAAGGTTTCAT